TTGTTTATTTACAGAAGAACAGCAATGAAAACACAGAACACATTGACTTTTGTAAGAATATTTGTAATAACAACAATTTATTGAACGTATATACCTAAGAACATATCTAACAACAATATTTGAAACGTATTTACAGAAGACAAAACGAAGCCCTAAAACCTATATCCTAAAGGGAACAACAAACTCTAAAACTATGTACAAAAGGGTGCCATCTCTGTGCGGGATCTCCATCAGTCCTGGAAGAAAAGCAGGTGCCATGGTCACTCCAGTCAGGCACAGAGGGCTCTTCCGTGTGTCCCCAGGCTGGCACAGTGGGACCCTGCTGCCAGAGCTGAGGCTGGCTGGGTCTGGGGCTGGGCCCCAGGCACTGGGATGGGGCTTGTGTGGCCGGAGCAGGGACCACCCAGCCCAGCCCCAGCCTGGCTGCAGGGAACCCACTCGTCCTGTGGGGACCACGTACCTGTCCTGCTGCTGGCATCGGTCTTCATCCCAGGACCATGGCCTCCTCTTCATCTTCTTGATCAATTTCCATGTCCTCAGCGTACTCTTCCATTTCCACGTCCATCTCCTCTTCCACATCCACCTCCATCTCTTCCTCTCCAGTCTGTTCTCCATCCACTTCCATCTCCTCCTCTGTATCAATCTGTGTGTCCACCTCCATCTCTTCCTCTCTGTCTGCGACAGCCTGCAGAGGTAGCAAAACCTCAGAGTGGGGTCCCTGTCCCACCCCATCCCCCCAGAACTCCAGCCCACCCGGGCAGCTGGGGGGATCCCCCTGCATGGAATGGCACCGTACCTTTCTCAGGACAAAGGTGAGCATCCTGCAGGGATGGATGACACAATCCAGGCCTTCAGCAGCTATGGAACCTGATGATGGGGGTATCCGGGGGCAGGAACAAGAAGGGTGGCAGGAGCGGGCAGGAGCAGCGTGCAGGGTGTGCTGACCCCAGGGCCAACAGTTGTGTTGTGCTGCTTGCTGGCTGCTGGCAGTTCCAGGTGGGACATGGATTGTGACGTGACAGTTGAGCTAGAGAGCCTTTGGTTCCATGCTTAGCAACGTTCCCCCAGACCATGGTGCTCAGAGCCCTGTTCCCAAGGATGGGGCATCCACAGCCTGGGCCAGTGCCTCAGCAGCCTCAGTGGGAAAGAGCAGCTGCCTGAGATCCAACCTCAATCAGCCTCCTGCAGCTGAAAGCCATCGCCCCTTGTGCTGTTGCCACAGGCCCTGTTGAACACTCTGAACACTCTGTCCCAGCCTTTCTTGTGGGACCCTTGCAGTCCTGCATCAGGAACTGAGCGATGGAAGCTTTAGGCCCAGGTTTGCCTCTAAATGTACAAAATTAATAACAGTGGAGGGGAAGATGGTGGGACACTGGTTCTGCTCTAACTGGTGAATATTTTCTTTTTTTTTTTCTTCTTTTCTATCATGCTGATGCAGGTTGAAATGAAGCTTGGCACAATATCCATTTTCTTCTCCATTTGTGAAACACGGAACAAAGTCTGGGCAAGCTGATGATGCAGAGGAAAACCTGCAAATGTACTGGTTATCCTGAGCCTGGAGGATGCAGTTAAAGCCAGCCAAAAGCAATTTCTGGAAAGTCAAGCCTGGTGTACATTTTCTTGAGTTTGGCTATGCAAGTTCACCTCTCACTTATAAAAAAGCAAACAAAAAACTCAAACAAAAACAGACAAAAACCCAAAAAAACAAACCCACACAAACCAATCAAACAAATGGATTAAAAAACCCAAATAAAACCAAAGGGAATGAGGAGTTAGTATTAGTTGTGAGGATATCACAGCAGGCAAATGGCTGCTTCCCACCATAAAAAGACACAGAAAACAGCTGCTCCAAAATATACCCAACAGGAGAACCATAAAAGTGATACATAGCAACTTTGGGGGGCAGCTCCCCATTAAGGTGAAGGATGAGCACACAGTGGTACAGCTCCAGCATTCCCCACCCTCCAGGCTGCTCTTTGCTCCTGATGAAAGACCCTTGCAGGTCTGTGGCCCCTCTCAGTGCATTATAAATCATTCCCACAGCTCTCAGTTGAGCCACTGGCCTTTCCAGAGCGAGATCCAGGCACAATCCTACTGCCTGCTGAGCCTCTCTGGGAGATCCTGAGCATCTTCCTGCCTAGAGCCACAAAAGAGCTCAGGCTCTCCCTGACTGGGTTTTCAGGGGAGGTTTCCATATCCCTGTGAGATGTGTTCATCCCTCAACACATCTGATTTTATGTACAATGATGTGTTTGGGTTCCTTCCCTACTCCTGTGTGCCAGTGCGAAGTCACCCATGTGAATGGAGGGTATTGTGAGCAGGAAAATGCATTCCTGGGCTGCTTTTTTGCTTCACTGTCACTCAGCTGAACAGGGTCCTTATCTTAGAGGGACTTACAAGAATGGGTAGGAATTTTGGCTCTGAGAGGAGCAGAAAGCACATTTTCTGCACCACATTCCCAACAGATGCTGTTTCCCTGGCAAAACAGTGACTGTCATTCATGTTCCTGGGAAGACTGTAAAGAGCCATTCAGAGATGACAGGTCCACCTGGCCTTTGGCTTTGTGTACCTCATTTCACATGTCCAGTTTCAAGGGCCATGAAAAGAGGCCACCTTTTGCCCTGGCAGTGCTGATCCCTCCTGCTGATGCCCTCCCTCAGCGTGGGAGGAATGCAGAGCTGGTCTCAGAGAAGCACAGGGCTTGAGGGTTCCTGTGTCATTTCCGTGTGTTGGTAACCATGATTGAACCACCTAGTTCTTGTCTCCTATTTATTGAACTCTGGTTGGTTTCTGGAATTGGTGAAGGATGTGGAGCTGCTGGAGCCACTCCAGGGAGACCTTTGAGCTCCTTCCAATGCCTGAAGGTGCTTGAGGAGACCTGGAGAGGGACTTTGGAAAAGGCTCTGGAGGGAGAGAACAAGGGGGAATGGGTTCAGCCTGACAAAGGACAGGTTTAGAAGGAGAGTGGGAAGAAATTCTTTTCTGTGAGATTGGAAAGAGCCTGGAACAGACTGACCAGAGAAGCTGTGGCAGCTCCATCCCTGGAGGTGTTCCAGACCAATTGGACAGGGCTTGGAGCAACCTGGCATAGTGGAAGGCAGGGGGCATGGAATGAGATGGTCATTAGTTCCTTCCTAAGCCAAACCATTCTAGGATTCTATGAGTGGGCTGCTGAACTTGGCCAAAAGAAGAGCTACATTGCCGAGGTGAAGTGAGAAGGGGGATTAGAGCCACCTGTGTTTGCCCTTTAAATCCCTTCCAACATCAATTCTGGGCTCTGTCTCTGGGTATGGGCACAAAGGAGCCTTTGTTGTTCTTCAGTGGGGCTGAAATCTAAATCTCAGCGAGTGCAGCTCAGAGGGTGACACGTGCTGCCGCTGGGGCCACTGTGTGGACTTGTTTTCAGAAAAATGGGAGATGCAGAGGAGAGAGAGGTTCCTGGATACAGTAACTCTACCTACACCTGGAACTGAGGCATCTGCCCAGGGATTTCATATTCACCGACTGGGAAGGAAATCGAATCAGGGCTTGCTAATTTTCATGAAGTCAAACACCTGGGATTCACTTCAGACTTGCATTTTCCTGGAAGAATTCAACACAAGCGCTGTATATTTATACACAGGCCCTGGACTTTTCTGTTGTTTGATGAGACTACAATTTGTCTTCCTCTTGTGGTTCCTGCAATCCTTCCTCTCCTGAGGTTTGCAGTTGAATTACCAACCTCTACCCCAGGAATATTCATCTGTCATATTTTGGCTATTGTTGTTCTTCAAAGGAAAGCAAACAATGCGATTTGAAGCCAGGCCTCTTCCCAGGCAGATTTGATTGGAACCAAGTCCTGCCTCAAATCCAATCTCATCTCCATTGTTGTGTATGTCTATTAATTTTCCCATCATTGCTTTTCCATTTCTTATTACTATGCAGCTCAGTCTTGAACACCATCATTCAGAACTACACAGAAGTCACATACTGCTGCTTCCCTATTCCTATCTGCTTGTTACCTAATCCCACCCAGCTCTCTATTGAACATCTGCTTTTACCTGGGCTGACAGGTGTGTGTTTTAGCAGAAAATACTGCAAATCAGGGATGCAGAATTTCTCCTTGCTCTGTGAATCTGATCAGGGTCCTTCCAATGTGTCACTGAACATGTGAATTCTCCCTTTCTCCCAACAACCCCCAGTGCTGGTTTTGGCTAAGATAAATCAGACAGCGCTGTTTGGAGTCACTCCCCACCTGCTTTTCCATCTCATGCAGCGGCTGGGGTAGGATGGCTGGTTGGGTTGTGCAGACATTGCACTGCACCTTCCCCTGCTGGTGCCCAGCCTGGATCAGGGCAGGTTGGATGCCACATGGGATCCATCCTTTGCCATGCCATGCGATCCTCCATGCAGTAGGGATAACAAGCCCAGCACTGGGGAACCCCAGGTGCTGCAGCAGTGATATTTTTGGGAGAAACACGGAGCTGTGCATGGCCAGCTTGAAGTCTGCAGTGGTGTGAGCACCAGGCCTGCCATGCTGAGCCCAGGGCCACAAGCAGTGCTCACCCTGGCTGGGACACTGAGTCAAGGAGCTTTGCAAGAATTGTTTAGCTTGGAAAAGCTCTCAAAGCTCATGGAGTCCAGCCCTCCCCGCAGCAGTGCCAAGCTCACCACTGAACCATGTCCCCAGGTGCCACATCCACACCTCCTTTAAATGCCTCCAGAGATGGTGACTCCAGTGCCCTGGGCAGCCTGTGCCACTGCTGGACAGCTCTTTGGTGAGGAAATTTTCCTAATATCCAATCTAAGCTTCCACTGGTGCAACTTGAGGCTGTTTCCTCTTGTCCTGTTGGTTGTTACCTGGGAGAAGACTCTGCACACACACACACACACACAGAGGGACAGATGGGCACAAGGCATGGGAATTCCCTTTGACTCCTCAAGCACAAACCTATGGGGATGGTCCTTTTTTTTTGCACAGCAGATAAAATTGAAGCAGTGAGCTGTATCCTAACCAGGGAGATGGGGTAGAAAGATGCTTTGAAAGGGGATAAAACTTGCTGCCAGGCTTTCCTCCATGAGCAAGTCCAATTTCTTTCTCTCTTTTTAATTTTTTTTTTCTTTTGGTTCTGTGTTATTCCTCCGTGGGCAGGAGGCTGCAGGCATTTCAATTTTTTTCAAGTTCTTGTTACAAAAAGGGCCCAAAATATGTTCTCTTCTCAGAGGCAGTAAACAGCAAGTGCACAGTGCAGCTTCTCTAAGCCTCTCTTCTCCTGTCTCAGGGAGAAAGGAGTTCTCCAAGCCCTAGAGCCTGAGTCACTCGCTGTGTGAGCATGAATTAACCAGGAATGTTCGAGAATTATTCCTGAATAATTCATGAACCTGAATTAATCATGCATTTTCATGAATTATTCATGAATAACTCATGGAAATGCAAGGTTTATTCATGCTCCAAAAAACCCAAGGCTTTTCCCCTTCTCTTCTGCTTTCTCTCCCTGTAAGAAACAGACCTGAAACAAGCTAAGGAAAAAAATAATATATGTATATGGGAAAAGAACAGGAATAATAATGCTGAAACAAAACAACCAGGACCAAAGAATGCAAAAGCTCTTTCTTTCCTTTGCAGTGGGGACAGCAGGTGGGAGCTTTCCAAGCCAGACAAAGGAGACCTGACAAGGACCTGTGGTGAAGGGACAAGCACAAGGCAAGGAAGTGTCCGGTCACCTCCTCTGCTGGAACAGGCAGCAGAGACCTGGAGAGACAGGAGACATCTTGCAAGACTCAACACCTGGAGCAGTGCTAACCAGGCAAGGAGCAGCTCTGTTGCTATCAGGATTGTGATCTCTCTTTTTTCTCTCTCTGTTTTTGTGTTTGTGTAGTTTTGTTGCTTTCCTAAGGGTAAATGAACAACTGGTTTGGGGAAGGAAGATCACTGTGTTTTCTTTAAATGTTAAAAGAAAATCCCCTAGAGAGCTGTTTGGGCTGGGATTGTTTGCTGTCTGGAATGTGAGCTCTGTTTCTGAGAGGGAGAGGGCTCAGCTATGCATTTATCCCAGTTTCTGCTCTGTAGCCTTCCCTGCGTTAGGGAGAGGGCTGGGGGCAGCTGCCTGTTTCGGGGAAGGATGTAGGGAGACAGGCACACAGATCATTTGTATATGGTGCTTCCTGATAAAAAAAAATCAATGCCAGGGTGTGTATCAGTCAGGAGAAAAGGGCTGGAGAAAACCAGGTGTGAGACTGTGCCAGCAGGGCAGACTGACAGGTCTGGGGAGAGTTACAGTTCCTGCAGGGAGCTTTGCTGCAACTGATGGTGGCTGAGATAGGGAAAGAGAAAGTTCTCCAGGGTGAACTTGAACCTTCCAAGTGAGAGGAATCAAATCCAGGCAGGACTTTAATGGGGGTGTGGAGAGAAAACAAGAAACTGGAATAAATTGGGTCCTAGCTGCCCTTTCTGCCAGCTCCAACTCTCCTCTGCCTACCCCAGCTTCCTCCCATTTTCTTTGGACACTGTGGCCATTCTTCACTGGCCACAGCACATGGGCCCAGCCTTGTCCCCAGAACTCTTCTGCCAAATGCTGCTGCCGAGCAGAGCAGGCAGGACTGGGGTGATGCTGCCTGGGCCCTTAGGAGCTGGGAAGAAACTGCTCCTGAGCTCAGCAGCCCTCGGCTCCTCAGCTGCTCCTCTGGCATGGGAGATTTTGGAAATCACCACCAGCCTGGCTCTCCAGTTTTTCCGATGGCTGAAGTCTGCAGCTCCAGGGGCAGAAAGGGAAAGCTCAGTGGGCAGAGCCGTGGGCCAGGACTTAGGATCCAGCTCCTTGCAGCTTTGTTGCTTGACTGCCTTAGACATATCTATCACTGGTCTGTGCCTCAGTTTCCCCATGGGTGAAATGAAGGGAATTTTCTGTTCTCCTTATCAAAGCATTTTGATGTTTACTGGGGGAAATAATTGTGGAGGCAAGGGAACAATCATTTCCTGGAATACCCCTGGGTCTTTTTGAGTCTCTTCTCTGCACTGCCTTGATATCACACAGACACAGCCCTGCACTGGAGCAAACTGCTGGAGATCCACTGAAGTCATTTGAGCTGTGATGGCTCACAGGGGCAGAGGAGCCAGCCTGTGTCTGCTCAGTGGCTTGTTCAGCATCTGCTCAAAGTGTCAGCTGTGAGGGCTGGCCCTGCCTGATCCCAGGTGAGACCTGCCATGGCTGTCACTGCGAAGGACACTTGGATGCACTGAAGGCATGTGGTGCTGTGCTCAGTCAGACCCAAGACAGCCTCCTAGCAAAGGGCTTTAGGATAAGGCAAGCTCAGAAAGGTGGGAATGGGAACAGAGAAATGAAATAACTGGTAGAGCAAATGTAAGGCCAAGTATTTTATATCTGCAGGTTGTGCTGGCCTGGGTAAAGCACATCTTGTGAACACTCCCACCCACAGGAGAGCCCAGACCCCTGTGGTGACATTCCCACACTGTCCCTCTGCTCCAGGTGGGCAGCCCTGATGTCAGCCAAGCTCTACGTGCTCATCACTGGCCCGACGGCAGCCGGGTTATCGACATCGAGAACATCAAGGAGCCCCGCAAGCCCTTCCACCTCTGCACTGTGGGGGAGCAGGTCCTGGCCCGCTGCCCTGGATTCAGTGGGCTGTACTGGGGTGTGGTGGAAGGCATAAGTGGTAAGTGACACCCCCCTGGCCTGGGTTTGCAATCTGGGGCTGCTCAGGAGCAGAAGGAGTTTAGTACTGAAAGATCTTCTCTTCCTACAGAGCACAAAGGTATTTTGGAGAAGAAGCTGCTGGAAGATCGACAGCTCCTGGAGAAGTTAAGTGAGTAAGGGCTTTTGAAAATTGCACCTTTCAACTTCCATGGAGCTTTTTGGGTGGGAGGATGCTGAGCATGTTGTAGTCCCATCATAAATTTCACATCATTGCAATCAGTGTACAAAGCACTGAGTGGGAGTGGAAGACAGACACGCTGCTGTCCCATTGCTCATCCTGAGTATCTCCCTTCCTTTCAGAAGAAGAACCAGCTGTCCACAGCATGATGCCATCCCCACCAAAAAAATCCAGGAAAACCTTTCCAAAATGGACCTCAGGGAATGCATCCAGGAAATACCCCAGTGACAGGAACTCTCCTGCAAAGCCACTGCTGAGGGTGGCTGAGGCCAGCCTGCCCCGTGATGCCAGCAGCTCCTCCATCAAGGACAGGCGTGTCCTGGGAAGCGTGGCAGGGAGTCCCTGCTCACTGGCAGCTCCCCCCACCCAGCCAGTGCCTTCACACCTCCATCCACCTTCATCACCATGGCCATGCCAGGGCCAGGGACTTCCCAGAGTGAAGAGGACAGGGCTGGTCCAGCTGCCAGAGGTAACCTTGGGTTCTGGCTCTGCTGCCTGGTCCTGAGTGACAGGGTGGGATGGGGACTTGCAGAGCAGTCAGAAAACCTCTGCTTTGCTCCAGGGCTGTATGGGTTTGTCTCAGGGCTACAGAGGTTAGAGATGGCATTTCCTGGTCCTTTCCACCTGGGAGATCTGTTCCAGGAGGGCTGTCTAAAGGGAGATGCCTGTATGTAGTGTATGGTCTCTGCTCTGTCAGGCACCAGCTGTTTCCTGGGCTAGCAGTTCTCTCCCCCCAAGCCAAAAGACAATCTGAATGAATGAATGCCTGAATAACTGAAATTCCCAAAAGCCCTGTGTCTCCATTAGTCAAACCTTCTCAGATTTGCCTATTTCCCTATTTTTCCACCCACTACTGCACCCATTAAATGCACTTATGAAAATGTGCTAGTGTCTTATTTACCTGCTGACTAACAGCAGCATCCAGAGATGATTTGGCTCTACTTGCCTTGCCCCCACCATATCATTTGCACTTAGAACAGAAGCCCTTGAGATGCCACTTTTTTCTAATAACAAATCCCCATTGATCAGTCCTGGAAAGCCTGTCTGGATCACTGCTATGCAAATGGAATAAGGTGTTGCCATGCAATCTAGCAGGGGTGCTTAGATAATATGTTCTGGAGACAGAGGGGTTCAGGACCTTTTCAACAGCTGATTTTTCAGCTTGTCTCTCACCCTTGCTGCAGATTATGTTGCCCTTCCAATGAAGAGGAAGCCAGATGGCATCTTGTCCCCGTGCCAACAGCAGATCTGTCTGAACAGGTAACACCTGAAAGCACAATAAAGAGCCTGAATGTTTCACACCACACATATTGATTTCTGTCCACACTGTCTCCATTCTCTGGCAGTGCTTGCTTTGAGTAGATGCTCATGGAGGTTAAACCCAAAGCACAGAAGATAACAGAAGTTTGTGTGGGCACACACAGCAAGAAATGAGCCTGTGCTCTGATTCCATGGCGGGTCAGTGGGAGGTCCCCCATATCTGTGTGCCAGGGGGATGCAGAGGAGTTTGTGCACATTGAGAACCCTTCATGTTCCCTCTCAGTCTGTTTCATTCTTGTTGCAAATGAAACCAGAATTGACTTTGCTTTGAATTCCAGATAATTCTCCTCAGGAATGAATTTGAATGTGAGCACAAAGCTGTTTGTGGCAGTGCTGTTTAACTTGCTTGTTTCTTCCAGCCGTGAGGAGCGCAAGATTGATGCTTTGCAAGAGATGGATGGCTTTGAAAGGGCTCACAAAAATGTCAGTCCTGGTGAGATGGAAAGGTAATTAGCAAAAGAAGGCACTTGTTCCTAACTGTGTTCTCCTTCTCACTACAAAAGTGAGCAGTGAGATCACAGATGGGTGACAAAGTGGGGCAATTTTAAACTCCAAAGTTGCTGAGTCTCTTTACAATCAAGCCAGGTGTTTCTGATTGTAGGGCTTAGATTTAGAGATGCAAGAAGGCTCTAAAACAGTGCAGAAACTACAAAGCTCTTGCCTATAACAATCAAAACATGGTTGTGTGTTCCTTGTCTTATTGCTCATTACTTTGATGGCCAGTATCCAGTGATAAAATGATGCTAGGGACGGTTTTCTTGCCAAGAAATGGGTACCAAAAAAATTCAAGTTATGGTTCTTGCATTGTCATTTCCCACAAGTCTGTTGTTTAATACCACACATATATGTGTCCTGGGACTTGCAAGACAGGCTTTATGTCTTTCCTTACAAATAAGAAGAAAACTGAGCATCAAAGTCTCCATGTATGCATGCCAAGGGGGAGTTGAGGGTTAAACTGAACATTCCTGAGAACTGAAAAGTCCAGATCATGTCACTTTTCTCTCCTGCCTTACTCCTCACCCAGGAATAGCTGGAAGGGCTGATAGTCTGTCAGAGGAGTTGTCCTGCCCTGCTGGCAGAAGGCATCTAATCACTGCTTGGGTGGAGGAGTGACATCCAGAGTGAGGACATGGTGTCTTCTTGCCTTTGCACAAGCGACTTTAATTTTTCAGGGTGGAGAAGATGGAGCAGCTGGAAAGGATGGTGTTGGACCTCCAACAGGACGTCCTCTCTCTGAAGAAGAAGGTGCAGAGGCTGGAATCCCTGTCCTTCCAGGAGGAGC